AGGATGGATTACGATGGGAAGGGAGGGGGGGGGGATGTATAGATCCTCAGGGGGGAAGTATTTCTCTGCCCTGTCTGATCGGCGTCCACCCCCCTCATTGTCTGTCCAGGGTGAAATTATCTGTAAATGACATTGGTTAGAGCAGGAGGTAATGTAAAGTGCACGCACACACACACACACACACACACACACACACACACACACACACACACACACACACACACACACACACACACACACACACACACACACACACACACACCAGGCCCAGGGAGCGGTGGGCTTCAACAGGAAATTCCTTTACAGCCTTTCTGCTGACTAAGGCCTCTGAGTGGGAACAGAGTAAGAATGTAATGTAGATGGTGTGTGTGTTTTTTGGGGTCCGGTTAGGGCAGCATATGCATAAGCCATTACCATAGGGGTGTCAGGGTGCTGGATTTCAGGGAAAAGAGCAGTAATATCACTCCACAAATAAGCAGGTACATTTTCATTGCAGTGACATAAACACAGCTCAAAAAAGCTTAGTCTTTACGGAGAATGTTATGACTTTCCCATGCCTAATCTCTTTTTAATATCTCTATTAGCATACTTGCAGCAGGTCACGGTCCAAGGTGCTTTCTATTCATTCTTAAATTGTGTACATTTCAAAGGGAGATTGGGGCTCTGTGCAAATGTTCCTCTGCTCAGATGCTGTGTTTCTCTTGACATTGGCAACCCGCGGCCCCTTATCTGTTTCATCATCCAGCCCCCCTAAGACCACACCCACCACTCTATTGTGTGTACCAAGAGAAAGAGACACACAGTAGTAGCCATCTTTACAAGCAGCAGCATCCATGTTGCAGAGCCGGCTCGTGCACAGGTGTCCCTGCAGTGACCTACATTAGCCCAGCTGATGCCACCAAATATATCATATCAACATTTCAATGGCTGCCTGCTGATGCTCCTGGGGCATCCAGAGAGGGCAAGTTTGAAGAGATTCTGTGTGAAAATGAAATAAAATAGAGAAATAAAATTGTAAATGCGATCGATGATCAACTACGGTACGTTAGAACATGTGGCAGATCCATGTCTGTGAGATGGATGCTGCAGCTGAAAGAAAAGGAGTGGCAGGTTGAGACAGGGGCGGCCGAAATGGAGCAGCAGTGCCATCAGGTGACTGTTCATTATACTGCAGGCATTTTAAAAACGTCATCCAAATCAATGTGCATAAAAGGATTACTCGAATACGTAAATAATAAGCTATGCTCATACTGTAAATACGGAGGCAAAGGTTTAAGAGTCAGTAAAACCTGAAAAGTACACCCACACGATTTCCGCAGGCTGTGGGTTCATACATTTCGAGAATTGACAACTAAAATTATCATAGGTTCAATTGCTATTTATAAAACTGAGTGGTAAATTCCCCACCCACACACATAAATAATTCAGTATGGGGGCACAGATAGCTTTAAAACTCCTCTGTAACGCGAGGAGCAAATACTTAAGGACGTCAAGCATTTCATATTAAAAGTTTGGGCAAAATATAGCTTTTAAGAAATCTTTTGAGTTTTTTCCTTTTATTATGAAATTCTACTTCAATAGACCTTTCTGCCCAGTAGTTCAACCACTCGGCTGGTGTCATGAGCAAATGGTGTTGGTATGAGTGGTGACTTCCTGTGTGCAGCCTGCACTGTAATTGAAGAACCCCAACGCTCCGCTAATTATAATGTTCTGTAGCCTCGTCTGGTTTTAACACACTCGTCAGTTTTTTCCTTCTTTAGTAGCAAAACTGCACACTGGATTATTTCCTAATGCATGACACTAAACCCATTAGCCATGAATCCTTTAATGACAACGATCATTAGAGAAAATATAGTGACTCAAAATAAGAAAGAACTTGACAGCTTTGAAAACAGATGTGTGTAGAACCACTTTCATTTGTTTCAAGAGTAAATCTGAAGGACATACACAGAAGAGACATGCAACACATTGTCAGAACACAAAGACCTGAATAACAGCCAATGTCTTTACCAAAAAGAAAAGAAATACAACTCAACGGTAACTATCTGCACAATGTTTTGCATGTTATTGCACAGACATGCTATCCAAAGCACATTATACAATAGTTAAGCATTTATTTTTTTAGTATAAATATTAAATCTCTAGGATTATTCTTCTCGATTACATTACAGATGATGGGAAAGGAACTCCGGAAAGCATGGAGCGTGCTCACGTCTCGCGTTGGCACACTTCCTGCTGAGCCACTTAGCTCCAGAGAAACACTTAAATTCAATGATTTGTCATATGATCCTATACGAGTAAATAACAACAGATGCTACCCTCCATTTCAAGCCAGAACATCCGGTTTCATAACATTAGTTTGAAGTCTCTTCTTTAAGTCAAATATCTCTTTAACAAGTCATTAATGATTCCCTCTACCCAAATAACACACAACTCATAAAGTGACAGAATTACAGGCTGCAACAAGCTTATCAATTCAAATGAATAACAAGATATGACTGACAGGAAAGAACTCATGATGACACATTAGCTGGTTGGGTTTCAGGTGACTGACTTGCAACAAAGAAACATATTTGGATAACGTATCACACTAATGTGTGGGTTTACAAGGCCATATATTTAGATTTGGGAGTTCTTCCAGAGAATTCAAAGTGCTCTATGAATGAAGGCCAAAATATTTTTTCTTTCTATTTTGATTACGCACTTGCATAATAAAGATGAGAAAGAAAGAAAGGGACACGGGGTGAATCGATCATCATCATTCATCTTAGGGGAGACAAGCAGCTTTATCGTTTATGGTGATTTTACAGCCGTTTAGAGGCATTGCTCAACTTGCAATGCACTCGCGACATACTGGATTTATTTATGGCATAAAGAGAAAAAAGGGGAGATAGCTCCTTCCCCTGCTGCGGTGATTCCTTTCTGACCTGTCACCGTCATTAGGGTTTCAAACAGGTAGTGACTAGTGTCATGTGTTTCTAAGACAGAAGTTAATCAAAGAAATTAGCCAAGACCTGAGTCATTACCCACGCTAGCTTTCTGCACTAACAGGACAGCTGACAGAGCGTTGTAATTCTTATTGCCTTGGTCTTTCCCGTTGCTCTTTTTAACGGGTTTACCTAATAGTCCAAACCCGCCAGAAAATCCCCTACTGACAATCATGACATGGTGACAGTGTGGACAAAGAGTTAAAACACGTTAGCATGGTTCATCTGCCGAGAACTAGCTTTAATGGCGGGACAGAGTTCGTGTTGCTGTGGCTTTCATTCCCAGTTCTCCCAGTCTTCATCCACCTAGTAGAAAAAAGAAAGGAAACCGGGTTAGCAGGGCCGTGGGAAGTAGGGGTGCTGAGGGTGCTGCAGCACCCCCTGGTGGAGGACAGGGGATCTGCACTTCAACAAGATATAATAATAAAAAAAACGAATTTTCAGCCTTGATGTAACAACATTCATAATTAAGTAAATGTAACACCCTTTTCACCCCGGTTACACTTTCCATTTGCCCTGTACGATGGGCGCTGTAGTGATGAAAGTGGGGGATGTTGGCTTAGCAGGCGCCCGCAGCTCACAGCCAAAGTGAGAGAGATAGAGAGAGGGGATACCATGGGGTACCGGCGGGGATTGTTGTTAGCTTCTGCTGCGCTAACGGATATAAGAAGCTGTTTCTACAATAATGTGGAGGGAGAGCTCTGTCCTGTCAGACTGAGAGGCTCAGTGAGGTAAAGGACTGAGGGTTTGGATAGTTCACTTTAGTCTAAGTTATCTCAGTGAGTCTCAAACGTTTTGATCACAATTTATGTAAACAAATATTTCCAAGGCACACCTTTATAATTATTAGGATAAATAAAAACAGGTTTGAAATCATTCCAATGTATACTATAGGACAGTAAACCAAAAATATCGTTTAAAACTGGAGAGATTTAAAAATATGCATAAATAAATAAATGTTAACTGGTAAAATAAGATATGAATGAACAACACAAATAAAATAAGTTACATTTATTTGTTATTGGCTATGCTAGGTTATTGGAAATGTTCACATACTTATTTGATTAATAAAATGCAAACCGATCTTTTTCATATGGGTGTTTTAGAGTAGTATCCCCTAGATCAGTCTCTAATTGGGCGCTCAAAGTGCACCAGATTGAAGCATTTTACTTTAAAATGTTAAAAAAATCTTCTCGGGGGGGCACCCCCGGACCCCCCTAGAGGATGTGAAGTCCACCCCCCCAATTAAAACATGTTATAAAACTAAATACATTTGAAGCCTTGTTATATAAGCTGTCCAGCATGTCAATATGTTTCTCTTTTTGTAGTGTATTGGTCTTTTGTAGAGGTTTTTCATTGCCAGCTAAAATCTTGCCTAGGGCAGCACATTGGTCAGAACCAGCCCTGGTGTCATCCCCACAGCACCCCCCATTTGAAACATGTTCCCACGGCTATGCGGGTTAGTAAAACATTCCCATTGTGTTTATATTTTCATTAATTTAAAGAGGCCCTATTATGCTTTTTGGGGCTTCCCCTTTCCTGTTGTGTGTTATATAGGTTTTTGTGCAGTAAATTGTCTGCAAAGGCTAAAATCTCAGAGTTCCCTCTAGAGGGGGTTTCTCTCCCACCAACCCCCTTCCTGCCTGAAACACCTCCATTGGAATCCCTTGTTTACTTCTGTAACATAACTATTTAACACTAACGCTCACTCACAATGTGCATGATAGGCTAATTGGAAGGACATTTCCTACAGATCTCTAAGCGGTTGACCAATCATGACAAAGCTGGCCAGCTAACAAATCAGAGCAGACTGGGCTCTGGTTTCCGACAGAGGGTGAAAAGAGGTGCTGCAGCACAGGCAGTCTGAGATAAATATGACCTTTTTGAACATTAAAATAAGTAAACATGTGACAGTAGAGACACAACATACAAATATTAACCTGAAAATGAGCATAATATGTCCTCTTTAACATTATGGTGGATGTCATAACACTAACCTCTCCAGAAGCTTCTATTTTAGAGAGCGCCATTTGCACTTCTTCTTCAGTCATGTCCAGGTCGAAGTCTTTCTCCCAGTCCTCACTCACGTCCGTGCTGGACCCTGGAGACAAAACATTTCAGTGACCTTCTAATCCAATTTAGTGGAAAACTTATAACCACATCACTAAACTTAATCCCTTTTTGGTGTCTACTCCCAAACTGGAACAGTATGAATCTCTCTGCTAACAGAAAAACATCCTCATGTCATCATACCTTTCTTGCCGTTGTTAGAGGGCGTAGATTTCCCACTGTCAGAGTTGAGCTCGAAGACTCTCAGGTCCTGTGGCCCTTCTTCCTTTGCTGCTTCTGGTTTAGGGGGGGGGGCAGGAGCCGGGACTGACGCCTCATCAACACGGACCTCTGGCTGAGTAACAGCCTCCACTGGAGCCTCAGGAGGTAAGTCACTCTTTCCGGGCCTCTGCTCTTCTTGTGTCTTGTCCGTAGCGTCTTCTAAGCTAGCTTCTGTTAGTTTCTCTGACAGCTCCGCGGCAACGGGCTCTGGCCGCACCTCCACCTGGGTCGGCAGGCTGACGCTGTCGCTGCTGACCGAGAGGGTGGTGTCACGCTCCTCGCTGGGAGACATAACGGGGCTCAGCAAAAATGATCCTGTGGGAGGTGTGGAGGTGGCGGGCAGATGAGTGAAGCTGTGGTCCAGAGGTGGGGTGAAGTCGAGATGAGATGATGATGTGGCGCCGAGGAAGTCGTCTGATGGGAGCAACAGAGAGGTAGTGTAAGTAAGAGGTTTTAAAGCTAATCTGTTAAGTAACAATGTAACACTGTAGATAGCCTACCCTCTTCCTCCTCCTCCCAGCCCAGGCTCTCTGTGTGTGTGCTCTGCTCCGCCCTCTGCTTCAAGGCCACTCTCCTTGCCTCCTCCTAGAAAACACAGTCACAGGAAAAGTTTAATACATGCGATAAGACAAGAAATCTACTTTTTAGCAGCCATTTTAATGCGTTAAAAAACAAGTGAAATGCAGCTTAAATGTTGTGCCACCTTTATGTCAGTTACAACAACAAAACAAAGTTTCCATTATTCTCCTTGTGAGCGCTTTGTTGTTGCATTTTTCATTTATACATAATTTAAACAAAAATCTGCTGTCTGTAAACATTGATTGTAATACTTATTGTTTCTACAAACACCTTCTCTATATTATTCAAATGTAATCCTTGTCAAGACCAAATCCGTATTGTGTTTAGTTAAAGTGCTCTAACAAAACAAGTCAGATTGAGTCATTGATAGTGACTGGCGGCGAAGAGCATTTTTCAGCCAGCAGGTGGCACTAAAGACAATAGACGATTGTTGTACTGATGGGAAAGACATCTTGAGGAAAGTCAGCAGTTTGGAACACACTTTATAAATTGCATGATTACCTGGTCCAACTGGAAGACTCTGTAGAAATACCTCTGCCAGAATTCTGAATGGGCTACAGCCGCTGGCACCTGTGAATGAAATAAAAACAAATGTTATCTTGTTAAACAACTCATTCTTAATTTTAGTTTGTCTAAAAGCACTTATTGCAAGTCACTTTGCATATAAGCATCTGCCAAATTATGGTAATGCATTACTTTAAAATAGAAAAGCAGGCTGTAGTAGAAAAGGTGTTGACAAAAGCATTGGTACAAACCATTTTGGTGTAAAGCGCTCGTATTGAGGGACTGCTGACCAGATGCTCGGAGATCTCTCCTTTCTTATCCTCCAAACTGAAGCTGCACAGCCAGTTGTCAAACTGCTCTGGGGGACCTGGACAAAAATAACTTCTCATTAAAATACCCTCAAAAGAAAGCCTTCCTTATTAGACCCATCTAACAATCAGCAACGTTTTAATTGAATTGTGGTCCTCCACACAAATCAAAGACAGCCAGCACAGTAATACTTCATCTAATATGTTAGCCTTCAACTGTTGGCTGCTTAAAGAATGGTGTAAAAGTTAGGACTGAAGGTTGTAAGGGGGAGGTTTAAAGGTGGATAACATATTATGATATGAAACAGTGACAATTATGGGTCAGAGCAGCAAAAGGAAGTAGAGAATAGGTTTTTATATTCTTAAGGAACAGCGTACAATTCAAATATACTGTTTACAGTCAGAATCAGGAAAAATAAACACTTCACTTCAAACAGAATATAAATAACAACAGTCTAAAATTCTGATGGGGCCTTGCACTACTTTTCTGTCTTACCATCAGGTTCATTGCAGTATGTAGCGGGGTCAGCTTGCAAACTGTAGAGACGCGCCTGCAGGAAAAACAAATGCTTAGCTGTGCTTGTTTTGTTTCTACATGCACATCGTGTGCTCACCTTCACAGTCCTGCAGCCTCTTGTGACAACACAAAAGAAAACTAAATATGTCCTGAAGGAACATGTCTTTCCGTATTTTCAAGGAGATTAACCAGAAAGATATATTTTCCCATCAGTTGCTAGCTCACAAGAACACATTCACATGCTTAGCTCTGTCGTTATATTGTTCTGTATCTGTGACATAGGTGACTAACATAGATTTCTCACCTTACAACTGTCGTAGACCTCTGTAGTTCCAGATGGAGTTGCCATCAATGTGATTACATCACAATCAATGGTTTTATCCGGTGGTGGAGCAAGCGTGTCTGTTATCACCCCTAAGAAACTAGAGAGGCTCTTCTTCACCTTTTCTGAAGTCTCAGAGGAACCTTCCACCTGAAATCAATAGACTCGGTTAGATTTGATAGCAACAAATACCCCTTTCAGACAGGAGAGATACATATGAAGTGGGCATACTCAAAACACATACAAAGTCATTTTAACTGACTGTAACAAGGCCGTTTACCTGACTGAGACATTCAAATGTATGCACAAGGTGAAGACTGCAACTTACCGCAAGCTTGTTTCGGACAGCAGTGGCTGTAGCCACAAATGAGCAGGTTGTGTCATGTTGCACCACAGTGGAGAACTCAGTCAGGTCTCGCTTAATGAATTCTAAAGCCTCAGTTGACTGCAAAGAAGAGAATCAAATGCTACACAACCAGATTGAACAGTAGCATCACCATGTGTGTATGTAAATAAAACAACATCATAAGAGGCTACTGACATCTACAATACAAATAAAATATTAACACTTTAAGAGAAGCAGTTACATCTACCTATATCAATTGGCCTTATTTACCTCTAATATATCTGATCGACCAGGCAACCTACTTTTTCTCAAGTTTCTTTCAACAAGAGATTAACTATCTTAAATGCATGCTAACATACAGCTGTGAGCCTTTACCTTATCAATGCTGCATAACCAGTTTTAAGTGACAGATGTAAAGGCTCAAAAACTATGCCCCCACTGGATGAGCAACAACAGAAGTTTGACACAAATCAATAATCAGTATTAATGGTAACTGGGAATCGATATATATGACTCTGACCTTGCATGTCATCTATGTGAATGCTGTGTTTTCCATGTGGTTTTATGCATCTACTGAAACAATTAATGAAATGTAAACATCAAAGTTGGTGTAGGGATTGGTTTTATTACTCAGATCAACATCAGAGAAAACATTGTATGTGCTGAGCAAATAATAACAATAGGCTGCGACGAGCAGTACTAATTTCCGTAATGTGGATTATTACCTTTTCTTTTACGGCCTGGAAGCTCTGCTGAAGCCAGCCTCCCCACCAGCCTTCTCTGTAAACACACATACGTGTAAAATATTAGCTTATTGTCAGTCATGACAGCAAAGAAAACATTGCCTTATTCATAACACCACCACCGCCCGTTGTACATTCAACAGACTAAAACAACGGTTTGTTAATATTGCGACACTTCGAACTCATTAACTGTCAGCTGTTGACTTTCTCGAACTAGCTTTAGCTAACGTACAAATACAGAGCCTAGGAAGCTAAACGAGTAAGCTAACGAGAGCAGCTATCAGACCCATGTGAGCTAATTTATGAAAATAAGCAGCACGTGCGGCTTTTAAGACTAAAGATAAAGGCAAGGTGTACAAATTAAAGACATACACAGTCCATAGAGTGTTACTGCGTGATTGTAGCTGCTTGACAACCGTAGCTAATGAGGCTATGCTAACGCTAGCCAGGCTATGTTTTGGTAAACAAATGCACTTCCTGAACTGGTTTCGTGATATGCACCGTACATCGTTTAAACAAAGTACCTTTACCACATCTTATTAAACACACAACATTATACGGAACCCAATATCTACACAATGTCGGTTCTTTGCTTTCTGCTATATCATATTTAAAAACAAAAAGTAATTCGCGAGTTCACTCTCACCCTTCAGCCATCTTCAGATGATGACATCATCAGTATTTACTGAACCCTAACCCCAGCTGCATGGCGTTGAAAAACAAACACGTGATGCAGTATGTGTCTTCCTTCCTGTGTAATACAGGTAACCACATTCAACTATAACAAAGTTTAATCACTATTTTAAATGGTGTATTTTACAGTTTATAACCACCTAATGTTTTACAGCCTTTTATTTATCTAGATTATATGGTGGCTGCAGAGGACCAAATTGGACGGCTACGCTACAGAATAGGCAAGTTCGTTTATGTAATGTTAGCATACAACAAGGTAACTCAAAGTGCTTTACCTTAAACATAAAAATATTCTACCAAAGTGCAAAAGATAAACAACAAAGGGACATTGAAGTAAAATGCAAAATAGTAATTAAAAAGCCAAGAGAACAGAACATTTAAACAAGCTCAAATAGAATAAAACATGTATTAAAATACAAGATTAGCGGTTGCAGTATAAGACAATAATACTATATTGATGTTGAGCAATAAAGCTGCACGTAGAAAAGCATTTCAGTTAATAGAACTGCCAGTTGTAGCAGTTTTCTGAGAAGTTATTTTGTGTGTGTTGTAAAGCTTTAGTGGCAAAGGATAAAAGCACTCTGGGGTACATGGGCTTACTTAAAGAATGAAAACACTGTCATTTGTTCTCAATTGTTTCAATGTATATTTAGAAGCAAGTGGTAACCAATCTTTTTTAGTGCCTTCATACAGGTTTTAAGGTCAGAGCTTTTGTACCTTTGTATATTGCTGGCAGACCCAACAGAAACATATTTGTCCATATGCCTTGCAGTCTAAATGAAAAGAGAACAGTGTGAAAATTAAAGTAAATGCATTGCGATGAAAAACAATGAACTCTGGCTCCATAGGGCAGGCTAACGCTTTGCCCATATGCAAGTTGTTTTCTTCTAAATAAACCTCATTTAACCAATGAGCTGCGTATGAAATCAAACAAATAAATCCAGACTACAGCTCTCCTTCCTGAGCCATTAAGTTGGCTAATCAGTATTTAGCAATTCCAACCTGAATCTCCTCATCAATCACCTGCTCTGAGTGCATCTGTGGGTGTGCATGTGAGCCTATGTGCATGTCGCTTTGCTTATGGGTGTTGACCTCCAGCAGCTGTGCTTTCCCCTCATCAGTATTCTGGGTGTAAAGGGGGTTGTAAGCTTTACAGAGCACAAAATGAAAAAGAACAGGCAACAAGCCCCTGGAAGTGGGTTCTCCCTTAATTGAAGTTCCCCCTTATCCAGACGCTGCACAATGTGTGCGTATGTCCCTCAATATGTCTGCTCTGTCCTGCACCTCAATCCACTTAATTGGGTCTTTCAGTTTCCTAATTAACTCTGTCAATGCAAGTTGAGCTGAGCCAAGTTGGGACAAGCACTCCTCTATTGATCAGTATCTGAAGCAGTTAACTTATCCATCTGTCTACATGGCCCTCGGCTTTGCCGTTGCATTAGATTTAATGCACAAAGGGGTAAATGTGTGGTATCATCACCTCATCCCTTGTGTTGTTTAAAACGTTGTGTCTTTGAGTTAAGTTCCTTGTTCTGCTGATAAGCAACTAAGTACATTCAATTTGTTTTAAATAATCCAGGCTTTGGATTTCTATCTGTAGATGCAGTGGTTTTTAAAGGAAATATTGTCCTATTGTTGGTTATAAACTGTTACTCCCCTGTGGAAAAATGTAATTTCCACATGAAATGAAAAAAAAGTGCTGTGGTAAACCGTAACTTGCTTTATTTACCTACAATTTATTTACGCTTTGGTAGTGTATATAGTACACCAGTGCATAGTACACTACCAAAGTAGTAGTTTCAAGTATGTTCTCTTCCATATTAAACTACTATATACTTCTACTTCACTTTTTTAAATGTGGATAATGTACTTTTTTATTTATTCCTTCTTCATTTTTTACCACAAAGACCTATGTGCGGGAAAGTAAGGAAGAGGATTAAGGCCACATGTAAATTCTGACCTTAATCTCAGAACTCACTTTTTTTAAACTTTTGGTCAGATCTCATCTTTTATTCATGTGGCCCTTGTCCTATTAAGTACTTATAGAATATATTGTATAGAAATTATATTTGTGGAATGTTTTTAAACCAGTTGAAACTGGACAACAGCACAATATTTTAAGGTCTCAATTATGGACAGAGATGTAGATTCAACTTCCCAAAACGTAATACATTCAAACTCTTACCAGGCCAACTACCAGAAAAAGTAGTGGATCTGTGGAGATAATATGGCACAATAAAATGGCAGTATTTACTTTTAATACTTTAAATACCCTTTGCTGATCATACCTCTGTATTTTTACATAAGCAGGAGTTTGAATGCACGACTATTCATGTTATCTTTTATTGCAGTACTGCTGCTTTTACTTGACGCTATGATGATTATGACTTAAACCAGAGCTGCCACTGCTGGTTAGCGTATGCTAAAGAGCACCATGATGACAGCAGAGGCTGACCATAATGGCACACAGAGGACCTGTCCATATTGTATGATTTAAGAAGCATATCCATTACACATCACACCCACTCCCACACTCACACACACATGCTCCAGACCACTGATACCACACCGTGGGTTAACACCATCTGGTGCTGATCAGGAAACACCAGCTTTGCACAAGTCAGTGTCTCTAATTATCTACCTCCAGCAAAGGGAGGCCGATCCCCGCTAATCTCCACAATGTGTTCTGCTTCCCATTCCCACCTGTGCCCGAGTGAAGGGGGGCCGTGTGGGAGGACCCGGGGTCTCTGTGTCAAGGGACCAGGGACCAGGTGACGCTGCAGCGCCAGTCCCCACGACAGAAGCTCCGCCGCTTGGTTTGGCTGGCAGCTGCCTCCCCCCACTGAGACATCCCACAGCTGACAATCCCAAGTACTGACAGGGGCTCTTTCAGTGTCAATGGCCTCATATATTAGAGCTAACCGCCTTTGTGGCGAGAGAGGGTGTCAGGCCTTTTGGCCCGACAGCGCTTGTTACCATGATGAAATGTAGATTGAATGGAGGGGGTCTGTGTCTCAGGCACGAGAGCTTGGACTCCCCCGGCCTTTTGTGTCCCACGCATGGCTATTGTTCGGACCCATTCAGGGCTCTCAGGAGGAGGAGGTGGGGTAAAGAGGGAGGTGGGTGAGAATGAGTTACATCTCTTCATTTCTCCCCTGATCCCCGGCTCATCTGTCAGCCGTGGGAGGATAAGCATGTATTTTACACGCTTGATTTGTTGCTAAGTGAGGGCCAGCCATTGTCAGGTTGTTTGACTAAATCATGTTCATGGCAATCAGTGTGTGTTATGTTTGTGCTTAGCGGATTAATCATTGTTATGAATCAGCTAAATACTTGATTTTAAACACAATAACATTTGTGTTGTGAAAGTATGTGGATATATTTTATCAACAGCTTAAAGAAATAAACTCTGAGCATATATATACACTTCTTTTTAAAGGCTGACCGCATTATGTCCCCTGCTTAAAGTTTGCCCTTTGTGTGCCTGTATCCATGTTCTTATGAGACAGAGACAAATCGTTGGCCAGAGCTAAGTACATGGCTCTGTCCCTCGCCCGCGTCAAACAAAAGTGACGCGCCTTCCTGGCGCCTGTGTCGTCCTTTCATCTCTTACTCCCTGTTGAGGTGAAGATGGATGGTCCCCTGGCTCCAGAACACCACATTCAGCCTCTGTGCTGGCACATTGTCTCATCCTTCTGTCCCTCTTTAGCTCTTTAGAGGTTAGGCTGTCCAAGGCTGGTTAGCAACCAATGACAGCCCTTCCTTGATATCCATTTTTACATTGCCCTTCTGTCCCCTTAACACAAATCAAACCCCTTCTGTTTAGTTTAAGAAGATGTGGCTCTATTGTTTTCATACAGCTGCTGTGTTTTTTTAGTATATGTCTAGAACCCTTTAAGACTTAAGAAAGAAATAGTCCCTGGTGGATATTGCTTCTTTTTTACACGTATGACTATAAAAACAACTGCAGTCAGGGAAAAATAAACATAGATCACAGTATATCATAGAAAATAAGTAGGCAAACAAGAGTTCTTATTATAACAAAACTTTAATTTAGGAAAATAGAAATCCTGCAATACAATAATACACACCGGTTCCATCTCTGACAATGTCTCATCACCACAGATATCAGATAAATTAAAGTTTTTGCCATCGGTAAAAAACCTGCGTGTACATAGAATATTTCTGTATAAACAATGCAGAAGTGTAATTTGATAGAAAAAAGCAGCAGTTGGCATGGCAGAAGATATATACAGTATTTACAAGCTCTGGCACCAGCAATCATTTTAGGAGTTCATTTAACAATCTCCTCTGTGCTGCTTTAGTCATTGCGATGATCCCAGCAACAGAGGTCGTTTTTTTAAGAGTCTAGCTCACTTGCTCAGAGACAGGCTGTGTAACGTGGAGGTGGGTAAAGGCTGGCAGAGTGAGCAGGGGCAGGGCATGCCGGGGAAGTGCCTGTAGCACCCGGCCAGGTGGAGGGGGTCCTTCATAAGGCTCTGCACCGGTGCATGGAAACCCAGGAAGCCTGCTGATGGAGGCGAGTGCAGGGCCGTGGCGTGAGAAGAGTGATGCTGCAGAGCTGAAGGGGCGCTGGCCGCCAGAGAGTGCAGAGAGTGGGCCAGATGATGCAGAGGGTGGTGGGCAGTTGGGGCCGCAGGGGTGATAGCAGGGTGGGCAGCGGTGCGGCTCTGAGCGGCAGCACTTCCTCCGTAAACATCCCCCACCAACTTCTTCATCTCGTCCAAGGAGCCGGACAGCATGAGGATGTAGTTGCGAGCTAACATCAAGGTGGAGATCTTGGACAGCTTGCGGACTGAAGGCCCGTGAGCGTAGGGCATGACCTCTCTCAGGCTGTCCATGGCCGTGTTCAGATCGTGCATCCTCTTGCGCTCCCGGCTGTTCACTTTCAGTCTCAGATCTTGGGTGTCGATTTTGCTGAGATCGGTCCCGGCCTGGGTCTGTCCATCCACCGTCCTGTCCTGGCCGGCCTCGCTGTCCTCTCTGTTCTCTTGGCAGTATGACTGGAACATTTTGTTGGAGAAAAAGCTCCCAGCGTGGTCATCCACCACCAGGTCGGGGGAGGAGGAGCGGCTGCAGTTGGAGCCACAGTCAGAACCCATTGCGATTTAATGCGTTTAAAGTGTTGCACAAATCAAAAAAGTGGTGCAAAAACAGTACGCTGAATACTTGGAGCGTGAGTTTAAATTCTACAGATGCTTCCTTCGCTTTAAGCGCTTCCAGTTGCCTGTGTTTCTCTCAGAGTTTGTGCCGTTGAGTCTGTTGATCAGTCTGTCCCCAGTAGTGAGTCTGTCTAAACTGTCACCCTGTGGGCCCACTGGGGTGTATTTATACCACCAGCATAACAAAGGAACAATAAAGCTGCATAATGAGACACTTAGAGCCACAGCCAATTGCAGAAGGGACACACTTTCACCCCCCCCTCTCACCCCTCCTTCCTGCAGCCCCCACTTCACCTTCCCACACCCATGTTTTAACACCCCCAGCCCTCATGAACCCCCTAAACATTAACCTAAACAGGGGTATGTTCACATGTTGTGTTAAGCTGCACAGAGAGAAGTTAACTAAGACTATGCTGAAACGTGTGTACAAGTTTACTGTTCTTAATTCACTGGTTCATTTAGAGGGTTTGGGCTATTTTGCTTCCTTAACATGTTCTCTTTCAGGCGAGTGGAAAGAAAATATAAAAGTACACTTTTAAGTGTTCATTTTACTAACCCTGCCTATTCGCGTCTGTAGATGTCCTCTAATTTAAGCAGAAGTCTCATAAGGTATTAGATAATGCATCACTTCCACATAACCAAAACGTTAAATACAACTTTTTAAACAAATAAAGATTGTCTTTGTAAGAAATCAATTAGGGTAGTTTAATGATGATACTGTATCTGTAAGTTATTTAGTCTTTACCCTTGTCACGTAGCAGTAGTGTCCTGCAAAATCCATGGAATTCTATAATACATTTAATCAAAGGCCGATTTCTTGAAAGTACCAAATTTAAGTTTTTTGGAAAACATGGATCTTTTTAATGACTTGTTTTGACAGTATTTTCTGATTCATGGAGTGATACGAACAGACATCGGATATTTCTTCTGTAAAAACCATTGACTCTCAACACAATGAACCTGAAATGTAAACCTAACTTCATCCCATTTCCTGTGTCCCTAAACATGTATACTAATAAGCATCTCAGAAAACTTTTTATACGAAAAAGAATTGTGCTGAAGTAACTCTGGAAATGTCATGTTGTAGTAGTGTCCTGCAGAATGCATGGAATTCTTCAATACATTTAATCAAAGGCAGATTTCTCAAAAGTACCACATTTCTGGTTTTGGAAAACTGGAATCCATAATATTTGTAATGAGTTGTTTTGACAAGGAGTGATATGAAGAGATATCGGAAATGTCCTCTGTAAAACAATATGTCAACACAATGAACCTGACATTTAAAAAAAAACCTAACTTCACCCAATTTCACATATGTGCCCCTAAAAAGAGTAAATGAATAAGCACATATTCAGGAAGATGAAGCCTCATTTGCAAACGTTTACGTAACATTTCAGAAAACTTTTTACAAAAAAGAATTGTCATGTTATCAACAGTTTATAGCTATCAACTCTTGAAATGTCGTGGTGATTACCCTATTCACCTGGTTTGTTTCCTTTTAGAGATAGTGGTTACAGTGCATGTGTGAACTTAAAGTTTGATCAAAAGCTACATTTAGCAAGTAGGCAGATTATTTATTTTGTATTGCAATACTGCAGAGAAGCTTCATATTATTTATCCTGTTCCCCCCTAAGTTGCTTACAGTAACTCACCATATTCGGAGTTACCAAAAGTGAGAGTGTAAACCAGAGGTCTGCTTAAGGGGGGGAAAAAGCCCACGTTTATTGCCCTATTCCATAATACCAGATATATGATGCCTTCGAGGCCTTATTTACATATGGTATCCATGAGACACTTCGGAGAAAGGTATGAAGCACCATATGAGGTGCTTCAACATGTAAAGAGCAGTGTTAATGGCAGACTAGGTACAATTCAACCAGGAGCCCAAGACAAAAGAGGTCAGATAAATTTGACTTGGCTCCCCAAACAGTCTGTGAAATCACATCACTATCACTGGAAGGGGGTCCTTCGGATGGGGAGGAGGTAGTTAAAAAGATACTAAAGAGTGGGCGCGCTATTGTCTTCCCCTAATTCAACCGTAAAGCTACTAGCACTTTCTCAGGTTTTGTGTTTTCTTCCTCTTTATATTAAACAGCGGCTGTCAGGAACACCAGACAAACTTATCTCAAATAGAGAAGTTTCCATTCATGACATCTAAATTCCTGCCGTGATTAATGTCGTGCATGACTCTGTTGATCTAATCCTGGGGCTGGATCGAGCTGACTTTTCAAAAGCTCTCTCTCTGCGGTGGATTTCTCCACTCGGCTCTGGAATTTCCTGCCGCCTTCTGCCAAGCAAAGCCACAGTGAGGCAGCGCTAGGGTCAGAAGTTTGGGAATACAATAATATTCATGTGCTACACTATTCGTGGGAGCAAGAGAGGATTGGAAAAACATTCAACCTTGGATGCAGAATTGGTTATGGCCTGGAGCATAATAATGGCAAGGCGATCAACATTCAAGACAACTTTCTACAGGCGTCATAAAGAATGTGCTGTGTTTCCATAATCTTTCCTTGGTGCTGGTTTATATTTACCCAACAGTATGATGTTCTTCTCCAGTCGTGGCTGCTTAGTGCAGCTTCGTGATAGTTCTAAAAAACAGGGATACTATTGACTTGCATTGAAAAATATGAAGGAGCATACCCACTTTTCAGTAGAGAGAACATTCTGTAATTTACTATACTTTTTACGAAAAACAAATGATACTTATTCCAATTCCAGTTCGATCACAACACATCCATCCATAGGCAACATTTCCATTTGTTCTCAACAAAATTATGTCATCTGAACAGGAATGCAGATGACAAAATTCGCTCAAAGACCAATTCCTCATCCAGAATGCCTTATGAAATGTCTTGTTTTTGTCTTGTAGCACTCATTCATTGATTTTTTTGTTATTGTTTAGAAAAACACAAGTAAACAATAAGTGCCCAGTTTTCAGTTGTCTGTCCAACCAAACCCATGCAGAAAATAGCATGCTCACACAGAAAAAATAATGATAATTTAAAATATATCTATTAATTAAATACAAATAGATTTCTTCAAAGGATTTTTTTAAATATATATATATATATAATAAATAAAATAACATGTGAAAAACTCTGCTTCAAGTTGTTTGTATTCTGTCATGGGTTTTTATTTTGTACATGTACTTTTCAGAGGCCTACTACAGGCTGATGATGTCATATAGACAATCAGTCAGGAACAACAACAGATTATATTTTTCCTTTAAATCCTTTGCCACATGGAATAAATAGCAGCCTTTTTTATTGTGTAAAACAGCTCCATATTTCTTTACCTGTGTGTTTGAATCGTCATGGACTTGCATTGAAGCTCACGCTTCACCTTGCTATGTGTGCATTCTCAAAGTGTGACAATCTTTTTGACCCGCAGAAAGTTAGGATTGGGAATCAAGAGGGCCCTCAGGACCCCCCACCACCGCTCCATGAGGGGGCCCAGCAGGGTGTTTTGGCTCAGCTAACATTCAGTGATATTATAATTGGAGAACCTCGATAGCCAACATGGGCCATTTATAAGGAGCATATGGATTTCCCCATCGTTAGGCTCCGGGCCAACATGGCTGCTGGACTCTCCTCTTCTAATTGGGTCAGGTCCTAATTAACTGCCTTGGACACAATGCTCCAGTTTTCATTCTTGTCTGGTCTTTCGGAGCTTTTAATTGCTGGTTCTGTGCCATTGTGTTCTCCGTTATCCAAAGAGAAGAAAAGCGATCAATAATGTTTCCACAGTGGTAGAAGTAAATTATATATAAATGCAGGGGAAATGTGTCAAGACGGCTCATTAACTGTGCATGAAGTTAGATTAGTGAGAGTGGCATATTAATAAAGTAAAATCACTAGGAACACATATAGGGACCTTTGCTAGGGGCTCTAAATGAATAAAAGGGGTGTAATCACTCCTTCTCTTACTCCATCACTATATGCATGAACCAGATAAATCCCATTCTCCTGCTCTTTCGTATTCTTATTCATGTGTTTACAGAGGCAACGGGCCACACAGAGAGACGCAAGGATCTCCAAGCTTTGCATCTTACAATTGAAAGCGTAGCCACCCTCCATGTTTCAACATAATCCTTCAATTTTTAACCCTGCATCAGAGTGTTTGACTTTCTTCTCTGGACGCCACCTTTCAGGACCCTTCATCCAATTCAAGAGCTCTTTTTTTTAGGCTTTAGAGACCCCCTTTCTGCTGCCCCACTGGGTACACTCCAATGAAAGTGCTCAGGTGACCAGAAAATGAGGGCATTATCACAGGCATATGCTTGTAGCGACAGAGGATCAGGCCAGCTTAGGGCCTATCATGGCTCAATAAAGCGCTGAGCTGAAGAGCAAACCTGCGCCGTGTACCGTTAGGCTTCCTTCTTTCTCAGCTGGTCATTGTTTAACAGGATCAGTGGCGAGATCTTCTGTACACCCACACTGAGCTTTAATCTGGGCATGTGGTGGGGAGCAGACCCCATAGAGGACGCACAGCAGCCTTTGTTTACCACAATTTTTCTCTTTTCGCTTGATATCGAGGCTCTGAGATGGAAATCATATTAGCAGGGGAAGTGATCAGATATGTGGATATGGTTTGCTGCATCTATGGATCTATATGTTTCCCTCTGAGTACCGGTGTCTGGACAGGGAGATATAAAATTGTTCCACAAAGTGTCTGTACGGGCCGACAAGTGTTTCTGAGAACAAGGAGTGCTGCCCTTTGTTATCTCTCACCGCTGGGACAAACTGCTCAGTGATTTATTCATTTACACCGCCTGAAACAATTGCATTATCTCGGCCGCAACAAAAAGACACAAAGGCGCTATGAAAATCCTCTAGGATGTTTATGAGTCACTAAAGAGTCCAATAACTTTCCCCTTCATCTCTATGCGGCCGCGGAGGGTCGCATGCTGTGGACGGCTGCAGGGCGAGTGGAGTCAG